TACAGAGTCAACACCAGGCAACCTGCAACGTCTCTTCTTTCTTCCCTTTCTTCTCCTACAAAACATAAAATGGTTCACTGAAAGTTGGCTAATATTATTTAATTTCTTTATCCTAGCTAGTTACATTACATGCAAATGCACAGGAAACGTGTTTGAGTTATTTTCATTAACTAATGTTGAAATAATTTGGACAATGTTTATTTGAGAGTGGATACCTTAATGTCCACACATTGCCTCATATTTGTGTTCTCCAGCAGATCCTCAAGCCATGGCCGACCAGTATTAGATTATTGCCTTTGGCTGAAAAATACCTCAGGTTTTCCAAAGTTATTTTTCAAGTACATTTCTTTGGGAAGATGTAGATCCAACACAGAGGCATTTCACAGCAATAGTTAAGAGTAACACAGTTATTAAGCGTTAGTCATTTAGAATGTTGTTTAATAACAGTATGTAGGTATCTACCTTCGTATGAGTAGAGTAGCTCTCTAGAATGCACTGACTGTACTGAGTAGATATCTACCGTCTACATGAGCTTAGAGGCCAAGCTCACTTGTAGACACCTGGAGGTATCTGTTTGAATCTGAAAATGAATCTCTCATTCATTTTGAGACCAAAAGGATTTCTTACATGCGAGCCACAGCCTTCCGTGCCAATTTACGCTGTAATCTGCGGTTTTCGTCTGTATCACGAAGCACATGATCTTCAGCTGCCCATCTATCCCAGCTAAGGATAGGTCAAAAGAAAATTATTAACGGCTATGAATATATGTCACTCATGATTACTAATGAATTCATATACATTATATCTAAAAAGCACTCTTCTAATATCATTCAGAAGCAACATCTGTATCACAAGGTTTGCATCCTTTTGTATTCACGTGGCTTCAACTCTTGTGTTGCTATCTAAAATCTCTCAAACATTGACTTAACATGCAGTAGTGTTTGTAGCAACGACACATGCTATAGATCACAGTCAGAGACTGCACTCACGTACTGGCCTTGATAACCAAACACTCCAGGTCTAGATTTAACAAAGTATAAATGCCTTTTATTAATGGAAACCTAGAGACACAAGTATATGCCAAAGACAGATATCTCAAAGTTTGAACTCATGGCTATCACACCGATCCACTGAAATTTATGGATACAGACCAATGCGTCAACACGAGCAAGTATATTAAAGGCATTCACAAACCCCAAAATACTCATGCAAACATCAAAGCCCTTTGATATTTTGTGCAATGATTTTCTTTGCAGAATAAAATATAGGAAATGGAAGAACTGAAACCACGCATACAGGTTCTTACCTTCTGTTCCAACCGTTAAAATGGATCAGATATTCTGGAATCTTTCTGCCTTTCTCATCTTTTCCAACAACAATATCAACAATCTGAAACAAGTATTGAATAGCATGTATTAAAAAGCTTAAGAGAAAGTGAGCTTTCCAGTATTTAGGGAATTTATGCACAAAGAAAAAAAAAAAAGATATGTTTAATTACAGAAATTAAATATACCTATAATTTTGCCAGTGAATATTGATATGAGCAGATGATATGGATTATACTAAATGGTCAGCAAAACTAGCTTTTTTTGTTGAACACTTTTAAAGTTGGGGACTGCTAACCGTCTTTGTCCTGTCCTCAAGCATCCCATGCTTTCAAGACAGACAAAGGGAGATGCAAAACAATGTGGTATTACACTATGGATATGCAGATATGCATCTGGGCTACTAACATTTTCTCCTGTGTGCTATCTCTTCATGCTCTCAAAGCAGAAGACAACAGAGTTCTACAGATATGAACCTCAGAAACACTGCTCTCTTGAACAACACTGAATCTTAGCCACAAACCATTAAAAGGCTTTGTGAGTATCTGAGCCTTTGTTTTCTTCCTCTTTCACACATGTAAGAGGGGCCAGTCTGAAAGGGCCTGCACCTCAACAGACATTTTCAGGTGGATCATTAAGAAGAGCATCAGGACTAGTAATAGCAAAGGAATCATTCTGCCTACACTTGAATGTACCTCCAGATGCAGCCAGTGGCTAGGCTACAGTAATGTTTTAACTCGGGAGTCCAGAATTTAAGAACTATCAATGGAGTCAAGGACAGTTATGTTAAAGTTTGGCGTATTTGAAAGTAAAGAAGGCATTATTATTTTTTGCACTCAGGTTACCTCAAGGGCTGGCAATTAAAGCTGTTGGGGCGGTCAGAACATAGGAATACACACACAAACAAAAGAGCAGCCCAAAATATTACAGGAAGGTGGAGCTCCTGATCAAAGATGTTTGAAAAACCCTGATCCATACAACTAGCAAACTTGCAGCAAAAAGTAGGAATTTGGTCAGGAATCCAGTTGCAATACCTCCCTTTTCACCCCTCTCTGTAACAAAACAAACAAACCAACCCCAGAATTCTGTTTCCAAGTTAGGGTACAGATGATTTGGGACTGAAAAATCATTTCATGTCCCACTGATACCCTAAAACAATTACATAAAGCGCTACAATTACTATCACTAATCTTAAGGCCAGGCCCAAGAGAGTCAGTCACCTCTTACTGCAACACTTATGGTCCACCACTCAGGGCTTGCTATCGCATTTCTGTACACTCTCCTGTACCGGCCGTACCATTTGAGCCCCTCTGGAAGGCCACAGGAGAGCAGGGAGGGGGAATAAATCAAGCTCTGCTGCGGAAGTGCAGGGATGAAAACACGACTTCAGAATCACTTTGCAAGTGTTCAGCCGAGAACGGAAGGCGGGAACCGAGTCCGACACTTCCAGAGCCCCTCAGCGGCTCCGCTCTCTACCAGACGCGAAAGCAAGGCCCCGGCGGCCTAGGCCCCATCGCCTCTTTGCCACCCAGGCAGCGGGACGCCTC